AATGGGAGAAGGAGATGAGGATGAATATGTTTTAGAAGACGGAGAGTTCGTGGCAGGAGAAGGCGTAGGAGAGGAAGAGGAAGGAGAGGGAGAGGAAGGAGAGGGAGAGGAAGAGGAAGGAGAGGGAGAAGAAGGAGAGGGAGAGGAAGAGGAAGAGGAAGGAGTAGAGAAAAAGAAGAAGAAGAAGAAGAAGAAGAAGAAGAAGAAGAAGAAGAAGAAGAAGAGGACGAGGAAGAAGATCCAATGGAGGAGGACGACAGCTGGCAGAGAGAGTTCCTCGAGTCGAGGCCCGTTCGCAGCGACTTCAAGTACTTCTTTTGGGCCGTGTACGTCACAGTTGGATTAGCTTATCTTCACGTCAAGACCAGCGGCAACGGTGTCTATGCACGAATCGGCGAAATTTTATTTGCAGTGCACGTGACTGAAAAATATCTCATCGCAGAGTTGTGGGTCGTTATCAAGGGCAAGCTCACTAAATGTTTGTTGAAGGGGGATAAATTAATGCCCATGAAGATGCCCATCCAAAACAAGAAGTTGTTGGCATTAAACAAGACTGGTTGCATGGTAAATGCTCTCATCTCCCCTAATTCCCACTGCACGTCTCTCTTCGCAGGAAGTTGCAGAGCTGCAAGAGTTTCTTTGAAGGCGTAACCGGAAGGAATAGGCCTAAAACTTTCACGGCGTATCCGAGAGTTAAAGGCCTACAACTACCGGATACGCCGTGGAAGTTATAGGCCTATAACTACCGGTAACGTCGTGGAAGTTATAGGCCTATAACTACCAGATACGCCGTGAAAGTTACAAGCCTTAACCTCCATGGTCTTTTCGAAAGTTATAGGCCTATGACCTCCATGTTGTTTCCGACAGTTGTAGGCCTGTAACTTCCACTACGTCTTCCTTGTTTCTGGAAAGTTATAGGCCTATAACATTGACTGCATCCTCCTCGTTTCCAGAAGTTTGACTTTTTGAGGTTGTAGGCCTGTAATGTTTTTTCACATTTGCGTTGTTCTATTGCACTTGTCGTACGCAGTGTTGCTCTAAGTATGTGTTATAGGCCTATAAGTTTCTCTGACACACTTGGTCGACCATTGTTTTTTCTTCTGCTTCCAATGTGTTGCGCAGCCGTTCGTGGAAGGACTTTCTGAGTTCTTACGGGCAAATTTGGACGAGAAACTTCTTCTTTTAAAGTATGCAGAGGAAGCAGAAAAATCACAAACTCCGACGACAACGACGACGACGGCCACGAAGGGTGGCTCGAAAGCGAGGTCGCAGCGCCCCAAAGATGTGATTTCTCCTCAAACCATTGACGGGTCTTCCGGTAGTCTGGCAAGGGGATCGGGCACAAAGACGATTCTCGGGAAGATTCGCGGGAAGAAAACAGTCACACCGGGTCCGCCTCGTCCGGAAGGGCAAGGAGAGGGGAAGGGAAGGGAAGAGGAACTCCAAGTACCCCAAGGTTTCGTGTCGAACGAGCGCACAGAAGATTTGACAAAAACTTGGGAGGAGTTGAAGAGTTTGCAGGAGAAGAAACTTTCACACGAGTCATTTTACCTGCCGATGAGATGTTTGCAGAGGCCACCCTGGTGAATGGAAAAAGACCAATGGAGGTGAGAGAGCCGGACGAGGACCATGTGAAGTCCATCATGGACTGCATGTTGAAGCAGCCAACTGGAGATCATCTTCCCTTCGTTGGCCTCGTCGACCCTGCCCAGGCCGAGCGCAAAGAAGACGTGAGCTTGAAGAAAACTGAGAGCCGGCGACTACGACAATTTTTGTGCTTGGTGGTGGCCACAGTCAGGAAGCGAGGGAGCGGTGAGCACGCATGAACCCCGACAACGAGGATACCAGTACAATCTGTGCTATGTTGACGTTGGCCTCACAATCGATGAGGCGAGGCAGGTTGCCCACAGGCATAACCTTGCGGCGGGTTACCACACGGACTTGAGCTTCATCGAGAAGCTCAGGTGTTGACGCCAAGTCTTTGAGAGCAGGGGGTGCGTCAAGTCGCAAGAAGTGAAGCTCGCTTGCCTAAAAGAAGCAGGGATTCCGAACGCGGCGAAGAAATTGAACGCCCAAGACCCGTTGCTGCAGTATGCTTTCAAACCCCAAGAGATTTGGGAGCTCATGTGTAAAATCATGAGCATGTGGCAGAAGGGCGAGGTCAAAGGCCAAAAACTGAAGCCGGCTGCGAGGAGCTTCTTGAAAGCGGACCAGGATCTGAAACCGAGTGAGTCCGAGGGCGCGAAGAAAAGCCAGCGTGGGAAGAGGCTTGATAGGGCGGCTGCGAAGGAACAAGAAATTGCGCTTCTTTATCCACGGGTGCAACTGCAGGGTAACAAGGTCCCCATGGTCACCGAGGACATCTCAGCGCAACACTGGATAGCCATGGGTAGTATGGCTCCAGAGAACGCCGTCCCTATCCTCCTTGAGGTCATTGCGAAACAGATCTCGCTTAAGGAGATGGAGAAGAAGTTCCAACTTATCAAGCAAATCGCCTACGTCTGCAAGGCATTCGCAGTGGGGGTGGGTGTTGTTGACTTCAAGGACGCCGAGAAGGAGTATCCTCTCCACACAAAGAAAGAGATTTTGAAGAAGTTCGTTGGTGGTATCAGAAGGGGTCAGACAAGTATCCCCGCACTGGATGGCCATATTAAACGGACCATTGAATGGAAGAACAATGAGAGGAGACTGCAAGCGAAGAACGCTATTCACGCATTCCGTACGAAACCTCTCCTGGAACCGTTCGTCGAGTGGACGGAGGTGACACACGACAACGACTCTGCGGAAGTGAAAATTATCAATGGCGACATGCGCTTGTTGTCGAAGCTGCGGACAGAAAAGTTGCCGATATCTCTGGCTATTTTCGACTTCCCTTACGGGTTCGCGCACGAGGGCTACACATCTGATAATGAGTCGTTTCTGGAGTCGGACGTTGTGGAGGTTCTTCACAATCTGAAGGACGTTTCCAGTGCCGTTGTGGACAGTTGCGGGATTTTGTTCCGTGGACATGCTTCCTTCCATCCGTTCCACGTTCCGGGAGGTTTGCAACGTAGGGCAGGAGCTTTTGACGTGGTGCAAGCCTAATGTGACGAATCCGGGTGGGCCGCGGCTTGTGAGTGCGACCGAATTCTGCGTGCTCGCCTACTACAGTGAGAGTGGGCAGCGCGAGATGGCGCATTACAATTTTGATCCCACTGATATGCGTCAATGCGGTGACACAGAAGTACCAGCACCCTGGTGGCGGTGTTCTCTGCCCGTACCAGAAGCCGTATACTTTGTACTCCTGACTTGTGAACAAATTCTCTCCCGCAGGGGCCTGCGTTCTGGATGGTTTCTCCGGTTCCGGCACAGGCGCCATAGCGTGCGTCAAGGCAAATCGGAATTGCCTTGTGGTGGAGATAAACACCAAGTGCGCTAAGGGCATCGCCATGAGGCTTCTGACAGACATCGGCGGCACACTTGTGAGTGAAACGCCAAAGCGGAAAGAAAAGGTTGCAGCCCGACCTCTAAGTTGTCTGGGAATATAAAGTCTGCGGGAAATGAACTCGTGCCCGACGAAAACACGGGCACTGCTGCTGGAGTGGCGGACAGCGCTGAGGCTGTCGCTGTCGGGCCGTCAGGTGCGAGTTTGCCCACTGCCGAGGCTGTTGCCGGCCTGTCCGGTGTGGAGCAAACTGTTACCGGTGTTGAGCCCGCTTTCATTGTGTCTCTTCCCGGTGAGGGTAGATCCGTGCCTGCTTCCATGCTTGAGCCCATCGTTATTCCTGAAGCTAGACCAGAGGCTGAGCCGCAACCTGCGTCCAGGCCTGTTCCCGCTGCTGCAAATGCTCACCAGAGTGTCTTGAGCCTCGCCATGAGCCAGGAATCGAGCAGGACCATGGCTGGCGGCAGGAAGGGGCGCAAACGAAAGGCAGGCGGTGAAGAGGTGTCGAGTCCGCATGGTGGGGTAGCGATTGGCCTCAAGGCCAATACTCGCTCACGGACTGCGAAGTGACTGAGGCCACACCGTATCCTTTGGATATAGGCCTATATGTCATGTGGGGACACGCACTTTCGATATAGGCCTTCGCTGCATGTGTGGCCTCAAACCACACATGCAATTTAGGCCTACATTGCATGTGTGGACACGCGCTTTACATATAGGCCTATATTGCATGTGTGGCCTCAAGTCGCTTTCGTGTTCTGCCGACTCTCCCGTCTCAGTCGCTTCTTCTCCTTCCGCTTGTTCTTTTCACCATGAGTAGCCTCACACCAAGGATCGCCCGCGACAATGACAAAAGGTCCAGGAGCTGCCCTTTTTTTGCGACTAATAATGATTTGCTTGGTACATTCCGGTCAAAGAGCCGAAGCAGGATCGACAACGATCCATGTAGCAAGGATTGCGCCTCTCGCAATTGGTGCGAGAGGAGAAACCAAGCTTTATTCGTTCACGAGTCTCCTGTGTGGATTCTTGTGGTTTGTGGTCTTGGAGTTGCCATTCGTTGATGTCAAATAACGATTTGCTTGGTGCGTTCTGGTCAAAGAGCCGAAGCAGGATCGACAATGGTCCATGTAGCAAGGATTGCGCCTCTCGCGATCGGTGCGAGAAAAGAAACCAAGTCGTATTCGTACACGAGACTCCCCTGGTGTGTGCTGCTTTGTCCGCATCCCTCCCGGGATTGATCGTCGCCCCTGCGTTGTCGGAATGTGTGCTATTTTGTTTGGATGCCTCTCCCAGGATTGGTCGTCGTCCCTTCGTGGTTGGAGCTTTGTGGTTTGGCACATGGCTTCGTTTTTCGCAGAATTGTTATTGTGCAGAGTAGGCTAGCTTTCTATTTTTTAGGTCGTGGAAGTGGGAACCATGTGTTCCGCTGTGTATTGTAACCATTTAGAGGAATGAGGGCACATGGCTTTGGTTTTTTGTAGAATTGTTATTGCGTAGAGTAGGCTAGCTCTTTCCCTTTTAGGTTGTGGAAGTAGGAACCAGGCGCACTCGGTTCGTGGGTCAGACCGCAATAGGTCGACAATTTTGAGAGTGTCATCATTACTGGGAACCAGGTGTTCCGTTGTACTGGGAACCATGTGTTCCGTTGTACTCGGAACCATGCGTTCCGTTGACAATTTTAAGAGTGTCATCATTACTGTGAACGAGGCCTGGGGAGGTCCACCCAGGGGCACTCGCCACAGGTGCGGCAGTTTTCGGTGCATTGTGGTACTTTAGTTTACACGTGGAGTGACTTGGTGGACCATCTCTGGTTTACTTCTTTTGTCGGATTTGGTTTAGTTCTTCTGTCAGACTTTTCTCTTTTTCTAAAGGATAATTTTGAAAACCCTCTATTTTTTATTCTAAAGGTTGTTTCTCATAACCCTCTCGTTTTCGTTCGTGAGTTCTTGTTCACTTACCTTTGGGTGGACGACC